TTATGTTGGCAATTGAATATATATATATATGAATAAATTCATAAGTTACAGCCAGTCAATTACGACAATAAAATATCAAAGAAAATGTATGGCCGAAACAAAGCACATGCGCCATAATTGGAACAAAGACAAGTTTCTGTAACTTGGTAAGCAGAGAAATTTAATTGCATACCATGAAGTCCAAGAAGAGGAAGATGCAGAAAAGCTGCTCGTGCTGAAGGAGGAAGGGGGAAGAAGCCTACCTTTGTGAATGGGAGGAAGCTTGCAGTTAGCTGGATAAAAAAAAATGTGGGTTGGCCAGCTACCGATGGAAGATGTCGTCGGAGGAAGATCATGTGTTGAGAAGGAGAGAGCTCGCAATGATTTCGGATGAAGAGAGGCGAGCTGGATCTGTCGCGAGTGTCGCGAGGGAGTGAGGCGCGACCGGGGCAGATAATCGAGCGGGGAAGAGTCTCGAGAGGGCGAGCTGAACGAATGAGGGTTTCGGTCGCAGAGGAGGCGTTCGATTAAGAGAAGAGTTCTATTGAGAGAGTAGAGGCGAGCAGAAGCTTCGGCTAGGGATGTGATCGAGTCGCAGAAGAGGAGCGAGCTAGTGGAGGAGGGCGTTCGGTCTTCTGGTCGTGAGGGGGAGGCGCAACAGGAGCGGGGGAGGTCGAGCAGGGAAAAGACGAGTAGGTGAGGGGCTCGGTGCGGAGGCGAGCACGAGAAATGAATCGAGCCGAGCGGGGGAAGAAGAAGAGCGTTTTTATTTATTTATTTATTATTTTTTGTTCACAGAAGAGGAGTTGGGGGTCGAACAGAGGAGGAGCGGGTGCCGAATCGTTGTTGGGCGACGAAGCAGGCAAGAGAGCCGAGGGGATTCGTGCACGGAGGATGGAATCGAAATGTCGCCAGCCCCCCGGAACCCCCCAGAGGAAGGAGCAGGTTTTGGTCGAATTAATCGAACGAGCGCTAGAGCCGTTATTGAACCAATAGGCGGGTAAATAAATTATTTCCTTGAGCGGCAACAACTTAATTGGAAAAGCTTAATAGGGCATTAAATGATAAATTTGAAATTTAAAATTTGAAATTCAAAATTATATAAGCTGAGTCAATTAGCCCGTGTCCAGTCTGAATCGAACCCGAGTCGAATATAGGTTGAGCCCAAACCCACGCAACGCTAAAAAAGTTGCATCGATATTCGTGCTAGTCGTTTGCGCGTGAAACTATAGAGATATGGGTGTCCTTTCTGGCTAAAGTCGACGTTCCGGACGCGTCAACGCGGTCCGTTTTGTCATCCGGAGTGGGCCGGACGAGTTTGCCGACGGACGAGTCAAATTAAGCCAAAATTGTGCGGGGTACGATACTTGCGCAAAATGCGGCGTTATCGAGCGTTTGGGTCGCAAAGGGGGTTCCCTAGGGGTTGCTCCTATTAATGTAGGAACTCGAATCAAGTTTCATGTGTCGATCCTAATCAACTCAACAGAATGCCGATGATTTGGGACCGCCCATGCGAAACTCGAGGGAGTGACGAGGTGACTCGAATTTTTTAAATGGTGTGGGTTCCGTACTCGTCCTCTAGGAGGGTCAAACAAGAGAAGCCTAAAGCTAATCCTTAGGCTCTAAGGAGAGAAGTGAAGACCTCATCCGAAAATGAGGTCAATAATGGTTTCGTCACAATAAACGTCGACCATCTGATGATCCGATTAGAAGAGTAGATGTTTTAGATTCGACGTATGTTAGGAAAGGCGAGGTAGACCTAGGATGATTTGGGCATATTATATAAAAATTGATCTTAATTTATTAGAATTAAATGAAAATATGACTCTAAATAGGACGCGATGGAGAAGAAGGATTCATGTAGATGACCCCACTTAGTGGGATAAAGGTTTTGTTTTTGTTGTTGTTGCTTTTTAGCATGCTTTTCCTTATAGAAACTGAGTGTGTTAAGCTTATTACACTACATATGCTCTGAGTTGAGAAAGGGAAGTTCTTTTAACCGCTATAGTTATTTCTTCCGCACAATTAGACATTGAGCCTTAAATTTTAGAATGTAAGCATGTATACTTAACTCTTGCTATGCTCTCAGTAAGCTTCCCATTCATTTTCTGCGGCAGGGGATCACAGAGGGTCTATTTCCACCAGGTTTTCTTGGCTTGAGCTTATGATAGTTTAACCTTCAGCAGGGTGGTCAAATGTTTAGGAATCTCTATAAAGATTTGACAGAAAGCGATGGCTTGTAAAACTAATTGGATTGGAAGAAGTTCAATTAGAGATTGGTTCTTTACTACATGTTGTGCCACTTTGTGGGCAGGTAGCAGTTTTTGTCATGGGATAGATGACCTTGGAAAGTTGAAGTTTGATGCCTTTGTTTTGGGATAGTCTTACTTCAATTTTACACACATGATATATCTAGATGGGTCTACTTCTTTCGATGCAGGTTTTACAAAATTGTTTGTTTTTTTGTCTTGATTTACAATCTTTTTTAATAATAAGAAAATAGGATTCCAGGAAGATAAAAGTCCCTACTAGAATGCCACAATTTTTAGTTGGAATGATGTTTGGAAGTAGGAAGGGCATCAGCATGTGCTATGACTTCTTTCTCTTGAAAGCCTCAGATTGCTGCCAATTTAATTTTCTTTTGAGGGACTTGCTGAGTGGAGGGCGATAAGGAAGTTCAATTTGAGGCCGTTTGGCTGCTTGCATTAGCTGGTTATTTTAAATAAAACGCCTGAGATTGTAAAATTTTGATGTTTGATTGGATTAAAATGGAATGCAGGGTACAATTTAAGTGAATTCGAAACTTTACCTTTAATTTAATTTTGGTGTATTTGGAAATTGGCAACATAATTTTCCAACGCTCTCGATGTGGCTATTGCCCGCTACTGGCATTTGGCTTCTAGCACACCCTTTGTTTTCTTGCTGTCCCCTCGGGCCATTTGTGGTTGTTTTTACATTGATTTTATTTTACTTCAAAACAAACACAAAGAAGTAATTTTTTTTATTCTTTTGTATTTATCTTACACTTTACCAAACAACTCTAAAATGTTTTAAGTATGCTTTGTTTCAATCACATTGCATTCCTTTTTCAGCAAACCAAACGGCCTATTAATAATGGATCTTTTGGCTTGAATGATGTTTCCTTCGGACCATCACCAACGACACACAGTACATAGGTTTCATGTTGAGAAATCTGTTCTAGTGAAGTCAATTCAAAGTCAAATTCTGGTTTATTTATTTGGCCAACTTAAATTCTCGGCATGGAGTAACCTCCATCTGCTAATAATCTTAGACCAAAAGGATCCGTAGTATTTACACAGCTTGTTACCCATGCTCTTTGTTGTTTATTTTTATGTTTATCCTTATTTGGATTGAGGTACTGGATTGTTTTTAGTTTTTTTTTTTTTTTTGGAATACTGGATCTGATGTTGTTGTTGGATATAATCAGCTAATGCTCTAAAGCTATGTAATTAGGCACATTGCTAGTCAATGAAAGGATGTTGGAGACATATGTCATTGCAAGAGATAGATTCCTTGTCCCTAATGGGAAAATGTTTCCATCATTAGGAAGGTATGTACTACTACTAAGCTGCTCCTCTTTCGCTTGCTTTTGAGATGTGATGCCGCTCATCTATTTTCTTATTACGTGATTGTACCTATTTAGCTTATGTTTGTTATGTTGTTTTCCATTAAGGCACTCTTTGTATAAATAGATGTGTAGGATATCTCCAAATGACTCACAAAGGAAATTATTTATTTATTTTATTATTCTTGTAACCTCAAGTTGAGAAGCTTTACTACGATTATTTGCGATTGGCTTCATTAATTCTCATTTTTATTTGTTTTTTGGCAAGTAGTGCATGAGAAGTTAATACTACCCTTCAGAAATCATGTTTTAAAAACATCTTTTTTATCTTTTTAATTTTCTACTTAGTTGAGCATTTGCATGCTAATTATATGTAGACCATTTTTGAAAAGCAGATATCAAGTCATTTCAGTTCACATCTTTTATAAGCATTTTTATGACCAATATAAAAATTTTCTGAACTCATTTATAATATTTGATGTAATCCTGTTGGATTTGAAAAATATTTTGTCACTACATAATTAATTATAATACTACTGAGTGCTTAATCATACATATTTTTAATAGTTTCAAACTTTCAATGTATTTTGACATATTTATTTCTTAATATATACAAAATCAATTCCTAGTTTACTTGATCATATGCTTTCTCCAGACAATAAAAATTATACGAAAATTCTTTCTGTATTTTCAAAACTTTTTGCCATTAATTTGTTTTGACATATGATCTTCTTCATAGTACATCTTTTTTGGCTTGAAAGCAATTTTATGCTCCTAAACATCAATTTTTCAAAGTCTTTATTTAATTATTCTTGTCCATATATTATTGTATGACTTTTACATTTGACTTCTCTATAGTTTTTTCAATATCCGACATCTATTTCTTTTTGAGTATTGGTACCGATCGTCTTTATAACTTTAATGAAAAGATTATTTAACCAAACAAATAATTTTTTTGTTTAAGCTCCTATTTAATAATTTCTCGAAATAGTATTTTAGAATTTTATTGATATCTTCATCTCTAGAGTTTAAATTAGATCATATTATTTCTTGTATTCTCATGCATTTGACTTGAACAAATCTTTTATCTATTGCCTATTTTAGTTTATAAACTATTATAATTTGATTTTCAGAAAGTATTATTTTTATGATAAATAACATGTTAAAATACTGTAAATCTTGGTTTATTAATAGCATGTAAAACATTGTAAGATGATTAATGACACTAAATATACAATAGACAAGTTGGAAGATTATCATATGGAACAAAACCATAAGATAAAAAAGGTATGAAGAGATTGAGAATGGTCAGAAGAAGATCCAATTTTGTAACTTGCGTTGAAAAAGGAAGGCTGAAGCTAAAGTTACACCATCTTACATATGTAGTGCGTTAATATGATGAGAATATCACTTCACTGACAGTTTAATTAATACAGCATCACTTTATGTTGGCAATTGATGTGGAGTCTTATATTGTTATGAAAATTTTCTTATATTTTTGTTTCCATACTTATGTATAATAGTTTTAATGAATGAAGTTATTTTAAGCTAGTACAAGGAATTCACTCATTATTATCATATACTCTGATCATTTATATGGGTCATTGATGGATTGTTATGCAACTTAAGAACAACATATATTGTGAAAATTTTAGGCCATTAGTAGTGAGATTGAGCCTAAAAAGAGGGGATGTAATACCCAATTATTACATATTTACAAATCTAACAACTAAACTCCACTTTTTACATTTTAACCACCCAAATCTTTTATATCATGTCAAAAACACCACCATTTAACTTTTAATAAGTGAAATGCACCGTTTCATGCATAGGTAAGTGACAATTATGTAAAAAATGAAGTTTAGGTGTTAGATATGTAAATACATAAGAATTAAAATTTACACTCAAGAAACCTAGATATCATTTTGGTTATCTTCTTTTTATATGCCAAATTGTACTATGTAAGCATATTTGAATGAACATATGATGCTACATCATTGCAGTATTTATAGGGACATGAGGTTTATATGCAGCTCTATTTAGTGAGTTAATACATAATTATATAATAATGGGCAGATGGGTTAATAAAAGAAATCACTAAATTGTTTGAGATTTTGAAGATGTTTCTCTTAGATTTGATGCCTAGGTAGAGTTAAGGTACTGGTGAAATTCTCTTAGATAGTGCAAGTTTGAGTGCATCAGGCATTGAGTTGTTGCTTCAATATTAAGTTATATGTCTAGGCAAACTAAAATTCATTTCTTGTATGTATTTGAGCTTTTTGTGTTGAGCTTCTTTTGTTGAAGTTTACTTGATGTTTTGTCTTTGGTTTGGGTTGAGTTTTTTTTCCCTGCATTTTCTATGCGTCAATTTTAGGTCTTAGTTTCTTACTTCACTTATACATTCATTAATTTTTTGGATTGGCAGGATTCATGTGGCACCTTTTAGTGATGAATATCTTTTTGTTGAAATTGCAAATAAGGTAATTGTAATTTATGCAAGGTTTTGTATGTTTCAAGAATATCTTTGTCTAATCACTTCTGTTTATTTTGTGTGTTCCACTAGCTCGTGTCAATTTCAATTTCACTTTTAATTTTGTTATAACTCGGGCATAAAGTTATTATTTTTATTCAGGTTGTATCTGGTCTAATTTCTTCCTTTTATTTTGGTGTTCCACCAGTTCATGGCAATTTAGGTTCTTTTTTCATTGTTTTTTGAATTGGTGCATAAATTAATAATTTTTTCAGTAGTTGTTTCCGACTAAGGGAGCAATTTATAATATGTGATGTCTGGCTTAATTTATCTTGCCCAACACCTCTCTTGGAGAGAAAATGACAGCCTTACATTTTGCCTTCTCTCTTAAGCCAAAATAATGATACCCTGCTACAAACATCCTCTCTTTTCCTAATACGCTTGTTGATAAGCTTGAGCGTTTGTATTGTTTTTTTCTGATATTTTAATTATTGTTGGAGTCCCTCCAGTCTCTTGCTGCGCTTTGATTTTTTTTTATTTTATTTATTCTACCTTTTTGTTTTGCATTTAACTTACACCTTTTGAGATCTGTCATCATCAGCTTCATATCTCTAACTTTTTTAGGGATGATTTAGCATCAAAACTATTTATCTCTTGATATGTTTTTCAGGCTCTTTTCTGGCAGCAACAGAACTTCTATGGGGTTGATTTAACTCCTTTATACGGATCTGCATTTCAAGGATATTTCTCTCAGGTTTTTCCCTTCATTTGATATCTGGTTTGATTATTCATACTAGTCTGCAGATTCATATGCTAAGACCTTTAGAATTATTGTCATTGTTTATATTTTTAGTTTAGGAGAAAAAATTGTACACTTATTTTTCTGGTTATCTGTTAAACACAATACTTCAAAAAGGATTCCTTGCCCTTTCTACGGGTAGATGCATCCACCATGTCTCGACATGCATCTTAAATGTTGAATATCTCATCAAAAGTTTTCCCGAAATTACATACAGATAATAACAGTGAACACCTTAAAATGATTGAGACAACCTAACATTCTAATCAATATTCTATATGACACGTTTTTTTGTAATTGTAGAAGCTTCTGATTAGGTGAAGGATGCATAACATATTTTTGGGCTACTTGATCGAGGGATGGATGAAATTGAAGAACATTTAATAGTATGGATTGTGACATATAATACAAGTGCTTATAAGACAGTTGAAATTAAATTGATGGAGAAGAAGCATTTATACTAGATACCTTATTCTGCGCATTGCATAGACCTGATATTAGAGATGATTGTTGAATTGTGACAACTTAAAAATGCACTGAACAAAGCTAAAGATAAGTAATTTCATTTACAATCACTCTTTATACATACTGTTGAAATAAGATTTGCTACAGTTTTTTTTTACTTTATAGAGTATGTTGGAAGCGAGATAAACATTGGAGACATGCTCACTTCCACTAAATGGCTTAATTGTTCATGGGCTAAGAAATATGAGGGAAAGGAAGTCTGAACAAATATTTTGATGTAACATTTTGTTCTAGTGTCGCATTTGCATTGATAACCAGTAGGCCATTAGTACAAGTCTTGAGGATGGTGGTTGTAGAGAAGAAACCAGCTATGAGTTTTATTTTTAACGCAATCAATGAGACCAATGTGTTAATAACTCATAACCTAGAAGGAGAAGATGACACTTATAGAAAGATTTGGGATATTATTGATGAAACATGGGAGCTTTAACTTTAACTTCATTTTTATGCAGCTGGATATTTTTTCAACCCTGAATTTCTATATGCTGAGAACAAATCTAAAATCTTGAGATCAAGTCGGGGTTCTATCATTGGATGCGTAGATTGATTGTTGACCCAAATGAGCAAGCGGCTGTAGATTTTCAACTTGTTCCATTAAAGAATAAGCAAGGTTTTTTGAGTTGTAGCAATGTGAAGATACTATTACAAAACACTCTCCAGGAATGTTTTAATATGTAATATATTAATTGTAAAATGTATATTTTATCTAATCACTATTTTTTTATTTTTTAATTACATAATTTTTGTAGATTTAATTTGGTGATGGTATTCCAGTGCTTCAACATTTTGCTATTAATTAATAGGATTTGTATGCTCATCATCTGGATGTGAGCGTAATTGGAGCACATATATTTAAGCCATACAAAAAGGAGAAACCGTCTAATGACCTTAAGAATGAATTCTTTTGTATGGATCAAATACAACAAGAAATTGAAAAATAGAAGTTTAAAAGAAAGTGGTTTAAAGGATGATGACGATCCTCTTTTATGTGAAGATATGCTATCAAATGATAAGTGGTTTGTAAGTGAGAATAACATGATTACATCAATTGAGTTATAGTAAGGAGATCTAAACATTGATTTCTTTGAGGTTGACAGGAACAAATGTAACACATGCAACACTAAATAAAAAGGGATCAAATGAAAATGTATTTCTAAAATTAAAGTATTTGATATTTTTTTGAATGACAATTTTTAGCTTTTTAGTTGTTTAATTTTTTATAACTGAAGAGGGAATAGAAAGATGTCTGAGGTTGAAGAATAAAAGTAAGAATAGGAGAACTTTGACTCAATTGACGAAGGGGTAGGAGAGAAAACTATATGCTATGATGGTGATTTCAATAAAGACCCCTTAAGCGATGAGAGTGCTGAGGACTTTTGATTTTTTTTTTATCTTATTTACAACAATGAATGTTATTATGTTGGAGTGAATAGGAGTGAAAAGTCTTTTTTGCCAAATATATCTTATGTCTTACTTATATATTTTGTGCAATTTATCAATTTTTTATCATGTTATGATGTTAATATATTTTCCTTTCATATATTTATAAATTATGATGCTATTATATACTTTGTACCTATTTATTTTGATTATGCAATTTTCAAATTTTGATGCTTACGCGTCAGACCGCCTCAAGGCTTACGCCTTGCCTCACGAACGGAAAATGCCTCGTTACCCAATTGCGATTTCAAACGTTGCCCAAATGGTCTCAAATTGTAATTGACACAAACTATATCATTATTCTTTGGTATGGTAGAATGCCTCCTAAGAGCTTTTCAAGAAAGTGCTTTGTCAAGAGTTCTAAATGTTGTGTTTTGACCGGAAAAAGTGATACTTATCTATGTTGAAGCCAATCTGCTCAAGAGTACGCTAGTAGCGTAGAAAACAAGTTCTCAAACTTGGTAGCAATAAAGAAAATGTCCATGCTTTTGATTTGCACTTATGGGCCATATTTCAATGTCTCCAACAAGCTTTGATTCTTACTCATCTGAGAAAGAACAGGACCTGTAGAGCAAAGCCTCGTCAAGGTGGCTCTTCACAGATCTTCATGAGGAAAAAAATAATTATAATTAATCCTCACAAGGTAACCCTAAATTTTCCTCCTCTAAATTCAGATTTTTTATGACTTTTGCATACTATAAAGTCATGATGAAAGCCTATTCTATAAACTTTATTTGAAATTTCTTCTCAAGAAATTTAAGGAGGGGCTCAAGGGAAAAAAAAAAGTGATTATTTTATTTTGCTCATGTAAATTAAGGGTGCTGGTCCAGCTTCTTGGCATAACTCTACTCTTCGATTATAAGGTTGAAGGGGTGGCAAAGAGGCCATCATTCAACTCTATTGTGCTGGAGGAACTTTTCATTTTATGTAAGGAGTGGTAACTACCATTAAAAGAAATCTTTGTAATAGCTGTTCAAAGGCTTTGTCTGGAGAGTGATCATCACTCTCTCCTTTGCTCTAGCGGTTAAATCCCCAAGCCCACAGTAACAAGTATTCATTAATAATGTAGACTTCATTTTGCTATTTCTTGAGAATATGGAGATGGCATTTTATGTAAAGTGGTATCTCTCGAGATATACCAACTCATTTTGGTATAACTTTTCGTTGGATCAAGATGCTCTCTACTTCATGCGGGTTCCAGTAAATTAATTTATGGCAGTGGTAGGATAAGTAAAAAGAGTAATCAATGCTTGACAAAAGTTCAATCATGTCTTCATTCAACTGAAAAATATATGTCGAGGCTCATTTGTTTTTTATTGCAAAGAAAAAGAAACATCATTAACTTGTTTAAGATGTAAGATTCTTCAAAGATTTGAAGGATTTTTCGCTACAAGTGATGGTGAAGCCTATGACTTAAAATGACTTTGGAGGAGGAAAAAGAGGACGTGTTTCTTCTAATAGAAAAGAGCACAAGAAAAGCATCTTTTTGCATTATTTTTGGTATAACATATATATGGACGTAGTGTTTACCATTCTAAATTAAGTGTGGGAGCTAACCGAGAGACTGATAAAAGACTGAGAGACTCTCTTGTACAAAGAACTAACTGAGAGAGCTTTTTTTCCTCGATTTAATTGGTTTTATGGCTAGAGATTTTTATCCTCAATTATCATCAGACCACCTAGCTGGTTGATATTGCTTGGTCAAACTAAAACGAGTTCAGTTAGGCCCCAAATCAAGTGCTTGGTTCTGCTGAACAAAAGTCAAATCAAGCATTTGCTTAATTTTTTTGGGTTATTTTGGGTTATACTTCGTCTAAACTTAAGTGCTTGATTAAATAGGTATTTTCAGTTTTATCAAATCTAAACTATAAAAAATTTATTGGATAAGGTGTTTAAGGAACTTAAATACCTTGTTGTAATAATAGGATATCTGACTAGCGACTCCAATTTATGATTGCTTTCTTTGTTCCTACAATTCTACTAAACATGTTCCCTTTATTTTTGAAATGAAGACATGAAAAAGGCACACAAGCATAACAAATGCACAACAAAAAAATTCAATGATGCTAAGCTTAGATTAAATAAAAGGATTGTTTTTTTTATTTGATGAATTTTAACCATTGTTCTCTCTTTTTCTGGGAGGAAAAGAGCAAAGACGCCAGTGTTTTTAACAACGGTTCAGTAGGTTGTTCCTTTAATGATGAAAAGTTATATCTTTTACTAATCTCATTAAATGATTTTTAATTTTAGTCATTTATGAACTAAGTCCTATTTTTGAACTAGTTAGGGTTCTGTACAATATGCTGGCTTCAGGATGTTGACAGCTTGAAGGTTTTTTGATGGAAATTTTTTTCTTCTCCTTTTTTTTTTCTTTATCATGCAGCCTGTTGTTGATGCATTTGATCCAAGGCTTTTGGTCTCTCCACCTTCATTCCACACATTGAACTTCAGTTCTATAAAGGTACTGCCTGCTGCTACCAATATAGTTTTTAGCATTCTAATCTTATAAAATATGCTGTTGAATGGAATGTCTTAATACTAGAAATTCTGTGTTATTTGGACTATTTTGTCTCTTTTACATTTAATCTCTGTATACTTCTAGCTGTTTTGGCCTAATGAGATAATTCTGCTTATATTTAAGCATATATTTTCATCAGTATTGTGCAGTTTCCTTTTCCATATATTCATGGATAAAAGAAAAAAATGTTGAGCTTTTAGATGTTCCGTCATTCACTTTAATGTTAAGGTTTCATTGTAGTTGAATAGTACTGCTGAGTAACGACCTCATTAGATTTTTATTCATAATCCAGGAAGAAGAGCTATATGAAATCGACATTCCACTAAGTTTCGTAGCTTCTGTAGGAACAAGAGTGCATGGGCTGGCATGCTGGTTTGATGTCTTGTTCGATGGAAGGTATCTTCATTAATATTTAGCTTTCAGGGGAAGAATTATCTTCAATATATATATTTTTTTGTTAATTCTTCATCAATCTTGACCTTTTTTTCCTTTCCGGATGTATATCTTTCTGTTTGCTTTCATGCAACAATCAACTTGCAATTTTTTGGTATAACTTGACCAGTGTTTTGGGGGAGATGGGCTGATACGTATTTTCACAACTAATTTGGTGACCTCATAGATTTTAATCAACTAATTTGAAATTAGTTTGATTGATGCTCTTATTTTGTGTGTGTATGTGTGTAATTGAGCTTTTTTTTGGGTTATATTACTTTTATATTTTTTTCTATTGTCTCATAAGAGTTTTAGAACTTTTAACTGGTAAAATAAGCTTGAAAGTTGAGTCCACAAATTGATATTTTTCGGCTCATCACAAATGACTAAAAGCCAAAATTGAAATCCTCAATTTCATGCTGAGCCTGGCACACCCTAACTGGACTTGATATCATTTATTTTGTGTATATGTGCGCTTGTTATTTTCTGTTATCCTATGTTAATTTTTTTTAAATGCGACCTTTTTGTGCAGTAAAACTAATTGTGATGTTTGCTGGTTAGGGGTATCAAATTGTCTCGTTAAACTTGTGAGTCCAACCATGTAGAAGTGGTTTCTATAGATGCTTTATAGAATATATGTTGATGACTTAAACTGTTAAACTTAGTCCATTCTGTTTTGCTTTATAGCAATCTCAGTTTATTATTCACATAAGAACTCTTTCAGTTTGTAGATTTTTTGTTGAATATATGTTGAAGACTTTCCATTGTGTCGCCTCCTTCAATATCTGGCGCAGTCCACTGTTCACGGATAACTCTACCTATGTTAATTATCTATCCCTGGATTACTGATCCAACACTAGCTTGAAGAAATGTGTATTGAGCACTGGAGTTAATAGTCGAGGGCAATTGTAGAGAGTAACCCCCGAGCTCTCTTACACTTCTTTAAATTTTACACCCTTCTAAAGTTTTTTATGCCTCTGCTATCACTTTCTGTCACTGCTGGGGTTTTTGTTGAACTTTCTTTTGTTTTTTAGCTTTGATCACCGTTTCTTTTATTTTTACTTTGCTGTCTTAATATAAGAGTGAGTTTAGGTTGTGCATAATTAAGTGTAAAATCAGCTACAGTAAAATTTGTTAAGCTTAGTTGTTCGACTTAACAAAAAATTCTTACCGTTTCCTTTCCTTTCTTAAACATCACCTCAATATTGTTAGATTAATGTATTCACCATAAGTATTTTAGTTATTATACCACTTAATATTCGGTTGCTAATGAGGTGCTGTTGAACTTGGTTACATGTTGAAACGCATTATTGGGCTGTTCCACAGTTTTATTTTTTCTTTTCCAAATATAAAGCAGGGCTCTATCTACATTTCTTTTTTCTTTTGCTTTTATTTTTTCGGAGTTGTTCTTGTCGACATTTCTGAATGCGGCTTGATTAACGATTGCATAATTTTTTGCTGGAATAGTTTATAAGTTAATGCATGAACTCTGTGGCTTAACTGGCAGCTCTGTTCAAAGATGGCTCACAACTGCTCCTGGTTCCCCCACCACCCACTGGTACCAGATGCGCTGCGTACTCTCCCAGCCTATGTACGTCATGGCCGGTCAAGAAATTACTGGGCGACTCCAGTTGGTAGCCCATAGTTCTCAGAGCTATACTATTCATTTGACCATGTCAGGTTGATTTTTTTACTTACCTCTCCATCTAGTGGTACTAAAAATTCTTAATTAAATTGCTGAAATTTAATCCATTTCTGCTATTGTTATCTATTCAGTCAAAATGTGGGGCCCTGCTGCAGATCAAGGGGGAATATTACAGACATCCACCGGTAAACTTGAGCTTAAGGAACCATACTACAGGTTGTCTCAACCACAACCTTATATACCGCCACAAGATCAACAGCAACAACATTTTATACTCTCACAGGTACCGGTATCCAACTCCCATTCTAGTTTGTTCTTTTGAAGATTGTATTCTTTTCTGTATTCATTTTGACAGGGGCATTTAAATACATAACACCTAATTTCTATGTATTTACATATCTAACACTTAAACTTTGCTTTTTACATTTATATAACCCAAATCTTTCATACCAAAGCAAACATACCATCATTTTTATTTCTAAAACATGAAATACACCTTTTTATGCATAGTTAAGGTGTTATGTATGTAAAAATTAAAGTTTAGGTGTTAGGCATGAAAATACATTGGAATTGAGTGGTAGGCATGTAAATCTTCAATTTTAACATTGATAACCAGAGTTGTCATATACTTGAAATGTAATCATATTTCCTTTCAGTGTGATCCCATGCTTTTTTGCTTTTGGTCTGTAGCCATATGAATAATACATTGAATAGACTACGAGCTTTTATCTTGTGTATTATTGTTTACGAAGTATTTATGTTTGAATGCAGGATGGAAATCTGAGCAATTTATCCTTACAGCAACCACAAAATTTAGGGAACTTGATGAACCGGTAAATTCAAATCCTGAAACATGCTCTATCCAAGCAGCTCACATCTGTATAATAATGTGTTTCTTTCTCGCTAGTCTTACATAGCAGATTCATCGTGAAAATGTTCTATTTAGCAGCAATTTATCTTTTGAAATCATTAATATTTGAGTGAGTTTGTCGGAACCTGTTTTTGGAAAACATGCTTGGGAGGCATGGTTTGCCAAGTTCATGTTTTTTTTCTCTTGGATCTAGACAATCCTGCCTCTCGAATGCTATTGAACTTTCATATAACTAGAAATTAAGTGTAACTCCCGTTGAATTCCTGCCTTTAAGTTTTATGATATTTAATGTTCTATAATCCTTTCATTGTTCTGCTAATAATTACATGTTTTTGAGGTACATAAATTTAAATGATACCGTTTAGAGTTGAGGAGATTACAAACGCTATGCTGCTTCAGATGACAAGAAACTTGGATATTGAAAGTAGAAAGCATTTCTTTTTAAGCAGTGAAAAATAATTGTTCAATATGACCAACTTTACTTCGGTCCAATAATTGGGAGCTTTGCCTCCCACCATAATTATGAGTCGGCATTGTTAGGTATAGATGTGTGATTGAGATTATGATTAGAAAATTTTGATGTATTTCATGTGCTTAATTTCTGATAAAAATATGATTTTTCTGGGACTTGTTTCAAGTGGAGACATGGAGATTCGTCTTGACATTGTTTACCAAGTCTACGCCTACAGTCATAATATCTGTTTTGTAGAGCTGTGAAGCTTCGCTAATCGAGAAAACTCATAAAAAATAGTTGCGTTCAGTTTTATTTAGTTGACTAATGTTTGCCGAGTCATGTAAATAAAATAGATTTTTTATTTTTATTTTTTGTTTACTATTTTTCAGAAGTGTAGAAACAATAGTTCGAATTTGACACGCAATAGTAACTCGGGCGTCGATTTGTACTGCTGCTTTAAAAATGTTTCAATTATTGCCCGTCATGCTCATGTAAGAGCTACTTGTCGAACCTCTTGAGCGATGTAGTTTTTTGGCAAGTGGGTAAATGAATTCCTATATCATCAAAACCAGAGGATTTTTTCCTAGAAAATTAAGGTTCTTTTTTTTTAGGCAAACTGACATTTAAAGTTCGGGATTTTACATACATCTCATCCAATTATTATGTATTTACATATCTAATGCCTAACTTTGTTTTTTACATTTATAGAATCCAATGCTTTCATAACACATAGAAACATCACTATTGTAACTTTTAAAAGGTGAAATACACCTATTCATGAATAGCTATGGTGTTATGAATGTAAAAAATTGAAGTTTAGGTGTTAGGTATTTAAATACATTAGAATTTAGTGGTATATATGTGTTGAATCCTAAATTGTCTTCTTGGGAACATGCCCCGAGATTTAGGGCTTATGGCGAGAAAACTGAGAGGTAGAAGAGTGAGTCAAGGGTGTTGGAGAATTTCCGGTGTGAAGATTTAAAAAAAGAGGTTCCTTTATTGATGTCATGACCTCTTATCTATAGAGGTTTTAAAATACATTTATACAAAAGAAATGAACATATACTATAATTGTCCAAAGCATTTAATTGATATATATTTAGTAAAATTTTATATTGTGATGCAAGTAAAAACTGTCTGATGTGTGTGTTGACCAACCATGCTGATCGCTTGATGTTCGGGCTGGTTGGCTCTGTTGACCGAACACAGGACTCTTAGAGAGATTCAGTGATTTTTCAGAAGTGTACGTTCACTTGCTTGTGTTCACTTGTTCGATGAATTTACTGGTAGGAAGCTTTTGTTTATTGAAGCTTCATGTGGTTGATTATGCCACAAAATTTATCGGCTACTTGGTGATATTTTTTTAGCTTGGTACTTTATCCGTACACATCTATTCCTGACCGTTCGATCTTTCTCGAGATCCATGCTGATATCGTTATAGTATACATATTAGTTTATCGATTTTCCTGCTCATTGATGTTGACAACAATGATAAGAACAAAAAAATTATTTAGTAGTAAATGATACAGGAATCAAGAAAATTAATCTAATAATCAATTCTTCTTTGTTTTTCGTGCCTAGTGGATTTTATCGACTTTTCTCTCCTTGTTTTGCCTTTCGGTCGTTTTCTTGCTTCGCCCTATGATGACCCTCAAGTACTCCCCCACTCTATTTGGCTCTTACCCTGCTACAAATGTGTTGATCCTGTATGCGGGAGATGTTAAAAAGATGGAAATGTTGTACATTTTTTTGACAAAAGCATCACCCTTAGGAAGGTAAAGGAGAACGCCCGGACAACGTTGGTAGAGATCTGGTTTTCTATCAAGATCAGTTCAAGTAAGGTCTTCGACTCTCCCTGTGCTTCATGTTGCGGAGTGTTTTCAACAATTAGGGTTATTTTAGCACAGGTCCTATCGAACCCCATAGCCGCCATTATGAATTTCATTATTTACTACCGCTGAGAAGTCATCCCTTGGTCGACCAATTTATTCATCTATTTTTACTTGTTCAAAGTTGATAAAGAGGGCTTCATCATGTTTTCTGCCGGGAGGCGACTCCAACTACTTGGGGGTAAAAAAACAAGATAAAGGACAGGAGAAAGCAATACGTGGTTGGTTCATGTTCTGGAGACTGGGGAATTCTGACCAGGTCAACAGATACAACAAAGGACAAAGCAAAGTCCCTTTCGAAAGAACTGTGCGCTGCTGGGCGATGTTGGACGAGCGCCAACTTTCGGTGCCCTAGTACATTGCCGAGAGAACCGTGACCCAGGTTCTGAAAGGAGAGATGACTCGAGATCTATGACTGGCTTCTATACCGTTGAAGGTGCTCGGGCAAAGGCGGTGATGGAAAAGTTATTCGTCAAGCAGAAAAAGCTGAAATTTCCTCTGCCGACAAGTAATCTCATAGAAGGTAGTATTTTAGAAGGTCATTTTTCTGGTGAATGACGCAGAATTTATAGCTTGTTGTTCTAAAACCTCAGTTGTTATCCAAAATATGATGATCGGTGAGGTTATCATTATTGTCCGATCTCACTCACTGGCTGTATGAATAAGCGGAGGAAAGAAACCTGCAATTGACGAAGGAACTTTTGAGGGAGCTGAGGCTCCAAGTAGTTTAGTTATCACACCACTTAGCCATACGTCTCGCAATCGTCCGTTCCGCATCCGATCGCCGCCCGTCAACGTGATTCACAGTCAACCGGTCCACTCTTTATGGATTTATCAGAAAGTGCCAAGGCTGGTCACACCGATCCCGCTTTTGTTTTTAGTTCAACCCCAAAAGGAGATTCAATCCATCAGCTGGGAAAATAGCCGTGGATATACTGGACCTTCCTCCTCCCCCTTCACTAAAGAGAAAGGGGAGCCGTTTTGATGGGGCCCGATCAAGGCGGGAGGGGGTAGGCTATGGGTTGGCACCGACAATCAGTTCAACCTAGTGGATACCTCGAAGGTCTGGTTTCCCAGCTCATAAGAGACGGAGGGAATCCCACCTATCTTGGTGGAGTTGGCTTGGTCAAAAAACTTTCATCGAGACTTGAAGAAAATGAGCCATGAGGGGATCTTTAATCATTCATGCTGGTTTCACTTGATGGCCATCTTCAGGGGCTGACACTGGGCAAGTCGGAGAGCTTCTTGATCGGGGCTTGCAATAAAGTCGGTTTGCTAGAAGCTAAACTTCAAAGGGCTCGAGACTATAAGGATCTTCTGAAGCTTAAGTTTGACAATTCTGCCGCTAAATTGAAGGAGTCGAATGAGATGCTAGATACTATGTTGGAGGAGAGTAAGCAGTTGAATGAGAAGGCTGCCTCGTCAATGTTGAATGAAAAGCACATGGCTGAGCTGGCAAAGCAATTCAAAATTGGCATGTACTTTGCAGTTGAGAAACTTATACACCATGTTATGATTGACGCCAAGTTTTCTAAGCGGGACAAATTTGTAACCCTTATTCCAGACAAAGCCAAGGATTCCTCGAAGGAAGAGGTTGAGGAGAGTTCCAGCGACGATGATCGCTCAACTATACGTTGATCCCCAATGCTTAGGAAATTTTGTTTTATTAGTTAAAAGAAAAAATGATTAAACTTATAATCACTTTTGTATGTATAAAAGGTTTTTAGTTTTTAGTTTTTTTTTGCTTGGCAATGCTTACGATAGATTTTTTTATTATTGATTGATACTCATCTCGAAAGTTAGTGTGTCGTTATTAATTGATCAACGGATATTGTTTGTACCTCGTTTGTATTGTTCAATCAGATTACCGCCTCCGGGAAGACTTGTTTCTGGGTGATTTTTGTAAAGTACCGCGGATCTTGTCGTCGGTAAATATTGAAGCACCTCATAGCTAAATCTTGAACTTGGACTGAGTACACATGCTTTACATCAAACGATTATTAACTTTAGAGATCGATAGACTTAAATTTACGTCGATCTCTGATCAACTTTCAATTTTTGAGTGAATAGGCTCACACAGATGCCTCTGTTACGTCGATCGATTAACTTATAACTTGATCGATGTATCTGTGCAAACCTTTGTTAATGCTAGCGCTGTTGCATTCGATCGATCGAATCTTTGCCTCGGTTTGGTTTGGTACGAATCTTGTCATTGTCTACGGGGATGACAACTATGACTTGTTTCCGGAATGATTTGTAGTATACTCTTTCACGGATATTGTCGCTAGCAAGCAAAGAACCATCTCTAGAAACCTGACCTTTTTGATCTCAGAGACGCGGGTTTGCAGTTTAAAAGCGTTCTGGATAATCGATTTCCTTTTCATAATTGATCGTCATGGATTCATAGCTTTTTACTCGACCAATTTGAGTCCTTCACGTATTGAAAAAGACCGCCGAATGCCATTTGATCGGATCACATTACTCGAGTGTTTGGGGAGACTGCTAAAGATTGTTATATTCGACTGGCAGCCTCGTTCCTATCCTGTGACCTTTCTTGGGCTAGCTTTAAAGATTGCTTTAATGGTGGTTGAATTTTCTCTTCCTTTTTCTAGGAATTAGTTTAGTAGTCTTGTCATGGTGGGGCTTGTGTAGGCTTTTTTTAGGTGATGAAACCTCTATTGGCTTATGTTGGGAGAATCCTCTCTATCCGTTGACCCTCTCTACTATAAAAATTGTGTCCACACTCATGAGAAGTTAGCGGTACTGCATAATGTGAGCATCTTCTTGATTTCTTGATTTTTATGTGGAGTCGGAGGCAGAGTCAAGCTTTCGT